TAATATCTAGGTATTTTAGGTAATTTTTAATTATCAACATTGGAACATGTATTCTCAAGATGGTATCTATGCTAGATATTTATTTTGACTTGGTTTGTTTGATAATAGAAAAACTTGGAGCAATGATTTTAGTCGGATTGATTGATGGTAGTTTTGTTCGTGTGATGCAGTGGGCCTTTTTCGATTTAGAATTCTCCATATAGAGTTCTTGTATTGACAATCTAGCAATCGTCCCAAGATCGTATTTCCCTTCTCTCTATTCTCTTTCTTTTATGATTCGCAAAACCAAGTGGGGAAACGAAAACAAAATTTTTTTTTTTTGCTTCCGTTGCGCACACCCATTTTTCCTACATTGGCGTCTCTTCCTATGGTTGTGAACCGTCAAAATCCTTCCTAGGGTTGCTGTCCAACCAAAAAAGGCCACCTTTAGGGGGGCTTTAGTGCCCCAAATTGCCTTCGATGGAAAAAAGGTCCCCCAAGCATCCAACAATTTGCTGTAGAAGGACCACACATTGAGCCTCCCATGGCTGGAGCCCAGCCAATAACAGTCATCCATATGCTTCCCTAATCATACTCTGAGGATATAATAACTCCAGAAACTCAATAGTGTCCTCCATCTCGCAATCCTGCAGAAACCTCCACATCCCAAATCAATCTCCTGTTGTTAAGGTGATAGCAGTCAGCATCCAGCGCCTACCTATCTACAGAAATTCGAAAGATTCTTGGAAAAACACTTGCTAGTGGCCTATTGCTGCACACCACAGATCCACCCAGAAACAAATGTCTCCCACTCTTCACCTTGAAGCGGATGTGTTTTGAAAATTAATCCCAACCTCTTTGATTGAATTTCCAAAGGCCCACCCTTGCCTGGGGTCTCACCTCCAAGGAGCACCATTGTGATACCCCTCGATTTTAGAGCCACGGGTGATCAAGTCTGAGCACAGATCCGAGGGTACCAAACAATTAAGTACATAAACAAGCATTTGATTACAAAAGAAATAACTAAGAATAAATAAAATAGCAGAAAAGAAAACTAAATAATTAATCCTTAAATTAAAATAATTAATCCTCCAAATGAAATATCCAAAACCTCCGATATCATTACAACTCGGGAATCCAACTAGTGGACCCCTAATGATATCCCAACTGAAATAACTGAAAAGAAATATAATCCGAAACTAAAACATAAAGAGAATCCTACGTAGAATCGGAAGAGTGATGTGGACTGTCTTTGCTCAGCACGAACAAGCTCTATGTCAGGCCCACGAACAAGTTCTTTCTACGACAACTCAGACAGAGACTAGAGAAACTATATATCTATAGTAACCCATGCAATAACTACATAGCCCATAAGTACATATACACACTAAAGGAACCTCACTAGACTATAGGGTTGCCTCAATCTGAATAGTAGGCAACACGCAAAACGCACATATAGTGGGCATGAGTACCTACACCTACCATGGCACACAACTACACTATATCTAGCTACACATCCCTGGCAATATACGCACCCTATCTACTAATCCTGAGGCTCAAGCTAATATCATGGCATATGTTTATATATATGTATAATATATATATCTTATCCAATATAAAATAATTCTCGATGTATCATCCAACTTGTTCAGTTGACTTGACACGAATACAAGTAGGACTTAACATTTTAGTTAATCCATTTCCTTATAAAATAGGTAGGACTTAATTGATAAGTTAATCCATCCCTAGAGTGCCACCATCCCATACTGGTGCACTACATCCACACAATCCAACAATTGATGTAACAATTAAAGAAATACATTAAATAATCCAGAAATAAACATAATAACATAATATTATGCTATCACAGTATAGGAACCACTTATAATTTATTTAAGCTTCCTACATCATATACCCTACACAAACTGAATCTTAAACATGCTGATATTTTATTATACAGTCAAGTAAGCATTCTCCATATACAATTCATGCTATATATCTAATCTCAGTTGCTAGAACAATTTAAAAAGATTAAATCCATTTATTCCTAAAGAATTCAAATAGCATGCATTGTTACATTTAAGTCTGTTTAAAATTTATTTAAACTCATATGTAGTTCTTAATGTTTAGGACCCCTCAAAATCAATTAAAATTAATTTAACGATGTTTACGAAACTTCCCCAGGTTAGGCTCGAGCTTTTACCTTAATGGCTCGAGCTTTACACCTATAGCTCGAGCTTTACACCTATAGCTCGAGCTTTCAGTACATGGCTCGAGCTTTTACATCAATAGCTTGAGTTTTTCTCCTATGGCTCGAGCTTTTCTTCCAAGGCTTGAGCTTTACATCCATGGCTCAAGCTTTGCTTCCAAGGCTCAAGCACTGTAACAGCGGATCGAGTACTGTTACGCAGTTCAACCCAAAAAATCAGTCTTTATTGTTTAAGGATTCTAAGGCATGTTTCTAGGTTCCATCAATACACAGATATGAAAACACATTATTTAAAACATGTGAAAATCCATAAAGAACCCATATCGAATTCATACAACAAAACAACCATGAAATATAATTTATAAATCCTATGTTCTAGATCAATCAAATTATATATTCTAGTTTTAATTGTTCTTTAAACAATCCTAAGATTATACTAGAGATATATAATTCACAGATCAAATGAGAAGTGTAAAACAAGAACTTGCCTTTAGGGATTTGATAAAAAACTCTAAGCCTCCTTCTTTCTCTATCTTTCTCTAAATTATATTACATGATATATTTTCAGTCCCCTTTTCCAACCCTATAGTTATATATTTATAGGCTAAATAATAACCCTATTCCTTTTTCCAATCCAAGTCAAACTAATAAAGAAAATAATAAAATTAAAATACTAAAAAGGTAACTAAAATATATGTTACTATACATATACAACTATCCATGGGTAATTATCCGTACCCATTAAACCCCTTATCCAAGTAGTCCATAGAACTCAATTAGTTGGCCCATTACTACTAACCATTAAAAATAAAAAATAAAAAAAATAAAACAAAAGAACCATTTAATTACTTAATCTTTAATTAATTTCAAATAAACAACACATAAATTAAACCAACTAATTCAAATAACATTCAAGCACATAATCAGTTAAGTCAAATAACACATTTGCAAATAAAATATATAATTAAACAATTCAATTAAACACGTAAGCAAATAATCACATAATCAAATACTACATAAGCAAATAAATAAATAAAATACAACTAAAACATTTAAAATAATACCAAGACTATCCTTTTAAAATTAGGGGTATTACAACCATCCACCCGTAGGTTCCCCAAAACAAATCTCCACAACCACTTGCGAGCTTTGTTGAACAAGTCCAGCCTCCTGATACCCAAACCCCCCTACCTGAATGGGTCTGCCTATCTGCTCCCAACCCACAAAGTGGTACTTGAATTATTCCCTCATGCCACTCCCATAATAAATCCTTTGTAACTTTTGAATCCACTTCGCCATGGAGGAAGGGATCGGAAAAAGCGACAAAATAGGTAGGGAGATTCGAAAAAGTGATTTTCAATGGAGTTAGCCCCACCCCCTTTTAGATAGATATTGTTTCTTTCAACCCACAAGTCTCCTCTCAAACTGGTCCACCACTGGATCCCATTAATGTACTCTCCTCGATGGCACACCCAAGATCCACTTTTATGTTGCCTTGCTGGGAAAATTATAGAAATGTGGGACTCAAATCTCATGCGAGCATGGAGGTTTGAGTCATCTCACTCATCATAAAGGCATAATCTTGAGAATGCTAAATGATAGGTAATTCAATAAGAAAGCTTTGCTTGAGTTGGTATATGACACGCCAATTCGAATTGATTTTCACGATATCCTATTTTTGCATGCTTAGTCTCAATTATTAATATCTAAATTTGATATTATATATATATATATATATATATATATTTGTATTGAAATAATCATTATGATAATTTTAAGCAATTCGACTATGAACTAAGAATTTATGTTAAATTTATCATCAAATTAAACTAAAACTCACCTACACTGATTGTGTTCCAAATTTTGAAGAAAATATCAGTTCTTTCTCAAATTCAAACCCTTCTTGAGTGGATTTTATTCTTTTGACTGGTAGCTAATTGGATCTTATTAATTGTTCTTGATGGTGGAACTACTTAAACTATTCGGTTATAAGCACTTAGTAAGTATAGAAGCAATGGGGCTTATTACGCAGCCAGAAAGCTTCTATGGTCTCAATATTGCATACGCATCGTTCTGCACCTGATTGCACTTGTAGTAGCAATATTCGCACTTGTGACAAAACTCAAGCCCAAGTTTCTTTGGATGAATTTGACTGCTGAATAGAATGAACTTTATAATGTCCCATATTTTGATGCTAAAAAAAAGCCGGATAATAAGTTAGCCGGTTGAATGCTATATACCACTAGAGTGCAACTCGATAAAACTATGTGGAGTGTGAGTTTATTTAGGGTTAGCAATACTTGATATGACATGCTAACAAGACTGATTGTAGACTGCAACAGCAGGCAAGAGATAGAGAGCTTGGTGAACAACTAGCGGGCCTCAAATTGTGTAAAGAGCAATGGCCAAACAAAAACTCTCTAGAAGATGAATAAATAACGTGTTTACAAAAAGAATGTAAAGAATTGTTTAATTTTTTATTTCTTACATTTTTGTTTTTTGAGTAGAGATGTGCAAAGAACTGATGGATGTGTAGATGCCAACCTAGTTGGGTTGTACTGCTTCTGTATTGCAGTATCTCACCCCTTGTACTCATCACTCCTGTACTGTACAAATACGATTTTGTTTATATTTAGATAGAGAAGTGGAAATGATTGACAGATGTGTAGTGCGTTCTCCTTAAGTGACAGCATCTCAAATTAAGATTGTTTTGCTTGTCAATAGTTATTAATACTAATAAACTTTTTAAAGTCATCTAGCTAAAAGTTTCAGTCTCTCTCTCTCTCTCTCTCTCTCTCTCTCTCTCTAACAGATTGATGAAGATCATGAGTGTTCTTTGAGGCAGAACCCCTCTACCTATACACAAATTGTCAACTCTGCAGCAAGAGGGTTGTACAGGTTTGTTATTTTGACTCCAAAGTGTTTTTTTGTGTGATTTCTGGCTTGAGGCCTAGTATTTCCATAAAAAAGAGGAAATTCGGGACTGCTTGCTTTGAGTATTGTAAGCTTGTTATATTAAGAAAATATATATTTTTAGATTCCTTCTTGGTATTTAGATTCACTACTACTTTCTAGTCATGGGATTAAACTTTACACTTGGCTTGTAAGTTTTTTTAAATTTACAATGCTCTTGATATTTGGATTTATGTTTGGTAGACAACTAAACCAGGTTCGATAGACTATTGACAATAAAATATGATATGCATGTTAAATATTATTGCTATGATATTTTTTCTTTGTTCATTATGATTTCGTCTTGAATTTCACAGAGACTGTCCTTGCTTAAGTATTAATTCTTTCCTTGTAGAACAATTTCTTCACCATTGGTCCTCTCAATCTCCAATTTTCCATTCCTTGGAACAGGATGGGAACTGTATTCAGTGCCACACCCATGTCAACTGGTCCTGCTGCAGATGATCCTATCCTTGCATTGCTGGGCGTTTTCTGGCCAATGCTTGAGAAACTCTTAAAGTCAGAGCACATGCAAAATGGAAGTTTATCTGTGGCAGCTTGCAAGGCTCTCCAACAAGCAATTCAGTCCTCGGGTATTGGTGCCTCTATTTACTCTCTCTTATTTATTTATTTAATTTTCCTTATATTCCAATTGTTGGAAACATGCTTTTCATTTGATTGTTTCATCGCAGGCGAACACTTTGTAGCACTTTTGCCAAAAGTATTGGTGTGTTTATCTACAAATTTCATTTCATTCCAAAGTCATGAATGCTACATCAGAACAGGTAAGGTGTTTACATTATTGATAATCCTGAGTAACATTTGATGGGAGTTGCTGGTGATATCTTCCGTTTATCCAATTAGTGTCTTACATAGGAACTATAGTCTACATAGCATGGATTGATAACACAGTAATTTAGATTTTCATAATTATAGTGGCATCCAGCCCTTCATTAATTTACCATTTTTTTTTTTTGGTTCATGAGGGGATGGAGAAGCGGCGTTGAGGGGGTATTAGGAAGTGGTTGCAATGCACTTGCATGCAGCAGTTGAGGGGCAAGGCAATCTATGCAATTCAAAAAACACTTATAAAATCTACAAACGTATGAAAAGGTTTTGGAAAATTACCAGAAATTGCCTCAAGTTTTTTCAGTTTCAGTTTAAAAGACATCACATTCCTTCTGAATAATCTCATGTTGAACATTCAAATTTTTTTTTACCCTTTTTAATTCAGGACTCTTGTCAAATAATTTACTATAAGCAGCCTGCAGACTTTCTTCATCGATTTCAAAGGGGCTTTCACATCCGTCAGGGAGCAAAACAATTTATCTGACTTGGACCATGTATAATCATTGATAGAAGCAGTAAAATTCATATAAGCATTCAATTTATCAATTACTTATAATACCGTGAAACCATAATTACCTACTAACAAACATGATCTCACTATAATGAATGAAGCTGATCTATACCAGTTTAGTAAAAATATTGAGATTATGGATATATAAGACTTAAGAGGGGTTAGTAGGTCCACTTTAAATCTTGATAAATTATAGCCATTTCTTGTGATAATTGTTAATTTTCATTGAATCACAATTTGTCAGCCGCTTAAATTTCATCAATCAACCATGCAAGTGATCAAGTCAAGCTAACCAGCCTTTTAACGTGGAAAACCCAACTGAGAAAAACCACTAGAATCAATCCACTTTGAAAAGATAGTGTGTTACGTCACTGCAAGTTAATGACTGCTCAAATTATCCGCCCGTGCTAGCGGCCAGTATCATTCTCGTCATCAAGTAACATGTAGATCTTAAGTGATGCAAACATTGTTGATTTCTTGAGAATCTGTTTTGGTTAGTATTTTTGATTTCCTGAGAATAAACTGACAAGTGTACCTAAGGTCTCGCTTTATGTAGTGTTGTCCTACACTTTTTACTTAGAGTTGTGGAGAGAGCATGAGAAATTTAGAAATAAAGACTTTTAAGATTTAAATTACAAAACCCATAAAAAATTGTCAAAAAAATATTTTTGTCTAAACCCGATCAATTCTTAACTCTGGCAATTAATCCATTTATTATTGATCATGGTTTGATCCATACAAGTCTTCTGTTCAATCTGTCCATTCGGTATTGTTAAGAGTTTGATCAATTGAGCCTCTAATTCGATTCATCAAGTAGCTACTGTCTTGAATCTACTTTTTACCAAAATCCTAGTTTTCTAAGTCGTAGTTTGATCTAAGGTGTGTGATCAATTATTTGAGCACTCTGCAGTCCTCCAATCTTGATAGCCAAAGTTGTAATTGACTTTTATGACTTAGTATAATTTACCACCATGACAAATTCTGTTCACAGAATATGCCAGCATGTTACCTTGTCGTAACAATTAAATTTTTATTATTATGAACTACTACCTTTATCTTTCTGCTTCAAGTTTGTGAGGATTTTCAGCTCCTCTTTATAGTATCAAATGTGGAAAGCGATCATGTATAATTTACTGCCACGTCTTGTATGGCTTCTAGCCTTCTACTGAAAGATGAAGTTACTTTTTATTGGCATGGTATGGTTGGTACCTTGCAAGAAAGAAAGAGGGAGTGGAGTGGCTGGTGATTTTTTTAACTTTTGCATATTTTATCAATTTAATACTCATATAGCTTATGCACAAGACAGTTGGTTGTATTCAGTTTTATTTTTGATGTTTGAGTTAATCCCAAGCCCATATTCTGGAAGTGAATAGCTTTGGCTTAAATATGCCTGTCTACCGAGCATAAGTCCTTGAAATGGTAACTTCTAGGAGTTGGGTTTTGATTGAATTTAGGTTGCAACTTATGTAAAATAGTCCCAGTTATTGGGTGGTATTTTATGCAATATTGTTTGATATGATTTCATTGTGTTTACTTTATCCAACCCATGAAATGTATCATGTTTGCTTATCTTTATTACTTTTTATTGGGTCTTTTTCAGCCTCTGTTGTTGTTGAAGAATTCGGTAACAAAGAGGAATATGGACCTCTATTTATCAGTACTTTTGAAAGCTTTACATATGCAGCATCAATAATGGCTATTAATTCTTCATATATATGTGACCAAGAGCCTGATCTAGTGGAGGCGTACTCTAATTTTGCGTCTGCATTTGTTCGTGACACTCCTAAGGTTCAGTATACCTTTAATATAATTTGTGGTTATGTTCTCTCTCTCTCTCTCTCTCACACACACACACACACACACACAGACAAAGAATAATTGACGTATTTGTTACTTTAAGCACTGTTTCATGAATAGTGATACAGTATAACAAGTTGACTGACTTGTGCAGCTGTGTGAAATATCTCAGGAAGTATTGGCTGCCTCTGGTTCCCTTCTTGAAGTGTCCTTTCAGAAGGCAGCTATATGCTGTACAGCTATGCATAGGGGAGCAGCACTAGCAGCAATGTCATATATGTCCTGTAAGTACAATGCACCAGTGGTACTTCCTTTTCTTGATAATAATTATATCAGAGACTGGAGTCAAGAAAGATATTTATACTGCATCTCAGTTATTTGGCTTGGCAACAAAATTTTGTTCTGCTAGTCAGCCTTCTTGGTCATGTTTAGTTGGAATATGAAATTATTGTCTTATTGCTCGTAAGAAGATCCTCACTTTTCTCTCTACATCCTGACATCAACACTAAATCCTATTTGTGGTCAAAACTCTAAACATAACAAGTCAATGCCCACACCCCTTGCTGTTCATTCAATGATTTTCCTGTATCGTAATTTGTTAAACTTGCAGAAGATTGTTATAGCGGTTGGTGTATCAAACTTACTGAATGGGATTTCCATACCTCTATATGTTTACCATGTCTGTAGCTGTACCATTCCGATTCTTGACTTCTTAGATGCTCATATATACTATAGTAAATATCTTTTTGTTGCTTTTGGGTTGTGTATGGGTTCCAAGTCACTCTTCAATGTTTGATAGGGCCCATAATTTTAGTCGCATCTCTCCAACTGAAAGGCATGACTATAAAGTATATGATCAATGCATTATTATGTAGATCTGCTCATTTAAACACGGATTATATTAAACTGCTCTACCATTGCATAGGAAAAAAAAAGTCCCCTGGCCAGGAAGATTTTGTTTTGGGTTGGGGGGGGGGGGGGGGGGGGGGGGGGGGGGGTTGGGGGGGAACAGAATCACATGCATCTGCCTTTATTTGACAGACATTTCAAGGGGCTATGAAGTTCTATGATTGCAATGTTTTTCTCACTACAACTCCAGAAGCTCTAATAATTCTGGGTTAAACATTGGATAAGAAAGACTCTGCCATAGAAGTATGTGTGGTGATGATGTAGGATAGATAGAAACAGAGGGGAGATAGAGAAGAGGGAGACTAGAGGAGGAGAGGGAGAAGAAGAGAAGAAGAATTTAGTTTAGGGGGAGAAATTGAACTCAATTCAATATTCAATCTCAAGACAACAACTCGTTACATGAGTTACATTTACCAAAAGCTTCCTTAACATTACTTAACAACTAAGAAAACTTAGTAGTTTGTAAAAGATTGGAGATAGTCTCAAGTCCCTTAAGAGTAACTTGCGACGATTGCATGTGATTTGGGTAATATGAGTAGCCAAACGTAATGCCAATACTTGAAATAATTGATGGAGTTGTTAATGCAGAAGGCTATGCTTGTGGCCCTTGTGACCTGTAGTAAAAGATGGATGTGAAACTGATGGCCTAGGATCCTAGTTAGGTCATGTAATCATTACATTTTTGTAAAATGAGGAAGTTGTGTAATTAATAAACCTAAGGGCAGTTTCTTCAAGGACACATTAAAGGGAAGCAATATCATTTAGTTCTCTTCTGTTTTCTTTCCCAAAAAATTTGTACACCATTTATCTGTCTGTTTGCTTCGTGGTTACTATGCACTTTGCCTTTTGGTGTTAATGTACTTTGGTGTTATCCTACAAAATTGACCTCATGATGTAGGATTTTAATTATCTTTCATTTTGCATCTGTCTTGAACTTTGTCTTATCTTGGTACTTTTGGGTTAGTAGTCATCTCTGCCTATATCTTTTTTAGGTTTCTTGGAGGTTGGCCTGACATCTTTGTTGCAATCCATGACTTGTATCTCTGAAGGATCATTCAATGCTGTGGTGATTCAGGTCATATCTCATGGCGGTGAGGGACTTGTATCAAATCTGGTGTACGCTTTGCTTGGTGTTTCAGCAATGTCAAGGGTAAACACAAGATCTTTAAATCCCATTTGTGAAAAGAAGTATTTGGAAGAAAGAAAACAATAAGAAAGAAGTAATCCAGTTAGACATCACAAAAGCATATAACATAGCCATAGCTAATATATTTTAAAAAAAATGAGACAAGCTAGTAACATTTAAGAGTGGATACAGAACGAAAATTGACTATTGTTTATATAGAGACGAGAAGAGTTGGACTGATTTTAGATTTATTAATTCAAGGATTTAAATATTAAAAACAAAAAAGACATGGGAAGGAAACAACAATATTAACAACTTGTGGTTAAAAATGTCTAGTTATATTAGAAGTTAGGCGAAAGAAGTACCGAGAAAAACTGATGCCGCCTTACCTAGGGAGGACAAACAATTGCTGTCTAAAGCAAGAGAAAACGAAGAAGGAAAGGAATGCTAGAACTAGGAGAAAAAAGACAAGCAAACACGTCTTGATGGTCTTCACTTTGATTCTATATCTGCCTTGGAAAGGGATGGGTTGGAAAGTCCTTTTTTGGAGGAGGAGGTGCTGAAGGCTTTAAAGAGTTGCAATGGTGATAAGTCTCCAGGCCCTGATGGTTTCACGATGAGGTTTTTGTTGGAGAGCTGGGAGGTGGTTCGGTACGAGATTATGGGCACCTTTCATGAGTTCCATTCCACGGGGCGGTTTGAGAAATCGCTTAACGCATCTTTTATTGCCCTTATTCCTAAGAAGGGTGGTGCTTCTAATATCAAGGATTTTAGACCTATTAGTCTAATTGGGTGCTTTTACAAGCTCATCGCAAAAGTCCTTGCCTTTAGATTGAGGGAGGTCCTGGATGGAGTCATTTCTGAGTCTCAGAATGCTTTCATTGGGGGTAGACAGATCCTAGACTCCGTCCTTATTGCCAGTGAATGTGTGGATTCTAGACTTTGCAGTGGGACTCCTGGTGTACTTTGCAAGCTGGATATCGAGAAAGTCTATGATCATATCTGCTGAAATTTCCTGTTCTATCTGTTGGAGAGGATGGGCTTTGGTGAGAGATGGAGGAAATGGATTGTTTCATGTGTTTCCACTGTCAGGTTTTCGGTGTTGGTGAATGGGTCTTCTTCGAGGTTCTTCGGCAGTTCTCGTGGCTTGAGGCAGGGGGACCCTCTCTCCCCATTCCTTTTTATTATTGTTATGGAGGCCCTTAGTAGGTTGATGAGACGGGCGGTGGACTTGGGTTCTATTAGGGGTTTCAAGATCGGCCCTGACTTAGCTCAGCAGATGGAGATCTCTCACTTACTTTTTGCGGATGACACTATTGTTTTTTGTGAGGCAGAGGTGTCCCAGTTTAGGTATTTGAGATGTGTTTTGGTTTGTTTTCAAGCTATATCTAGCTTGAAAGTTAACGTGGGTAAAAGTGTGATTGTTCCTATGGGGGAGGTTCAGGAGGTGGACACTCTGGTTTTAGGGTGCGGGACGTAATGCTTTCCTATCTCGTATTTGGGTTTGCCGCTGGGGGACTCGGCCAGGAGGGTGGGAAGTTGGAACCTGGTGATTGAGCGGGTCGAGAGAAGATTATCTGGTTGGAAAAAGCAATATCTGTCAAATGGTGGTAAAGTTACGTTAGTGAAGAGTACTTTGTCAAGCCTCCCAACGTACTTTCTTTCGCTCTTTTGGATTCCAACACGCTGGGGGACTCGGCCAGGAGGGTGGGAAGTTAGAACCCGGTGATTGAGCGGGTCGAGAGAAGATTATTTGGTTGGAAAAAGCAATATTTGTCAAAGGGTGGTAAAGTTACGTTAGTGAAGAGTACTTTGTCAAGCCTCCCAACATTCTTTCTTTTGCTCTTTCGGATTCCAGCCTCTATTGTTGGAAGAATTGAGATGCTCCAACGGAACTTCCTTTGGGGGGCTCGCGGAGAGGAGTTCAAGTATCATCTTGTTAAATGGTAGCAGGTTTGCAGGCCTATTCAGTTGGGAGGGCTTGGAATTAGGAGATTGGCCCCTTTCAATAGTGCTCTTCTTGGCAAGTGGCTTTGGAGATTTGGCAGTGAAAGACACAAATTATGGAGAAGGGTTATTTCGTGTCGCTTTGGGGAGGAGAGAGGAGGGTGGTCAGTTAGACCAGTCAGGTCTGCTAGTGGAGTGGGGGTGTGGAGGGCCATTGGGAAGGGGTGGGATGTTTTTTCCAAACATATTAGATTCAAAGTTCGGGATGGAAGGAATGTCCGGTTTTGGGAGGATTCATGGTGTGAGGTTAGGCCATTGGCTCTTTTGTTCCCCAAGCTTTTCAGGATCGCTGTTGACAAACATGTTATGGTTGCTGACTACTATCGCCTTGATAGCGGAAGGTTGTCTTGGGATGTGCGCTTCCGGCGAGCTTTTCAAGATTGGGAGTTGGATGATGTCACTGGGTTTTTGGCTCTCCTGTATAGACAGGAGGTGGAGGGTACTGGTGCAGATTCCTTGTTTTGGGTGCCTTCTTCTCAGGGGATGTTCCAAGTCCGGTCTTTTTGTGTGCCTCTCTAGTTTTCATGGTACCACATTCCCATGGAAAACGGTGTGGATGTCTAAGGCGCCTCTTAGGGTAGGCCTTTTTTGTGTGGACTACAGCTTGGAGTAAGATTTTGACTTTGGACAACTTGAGGAAGCGAAGGCATATCATTTTTAATCGGTGTTGTCTTTGCAAGATTAATGGGGAGTCAGTGGATCATCTTCTGTTGCATTGTCCTGTGGCTCATGATTGTTGGAGTATGATTTTTGGCTTGTTTGGTATTCATTGGGTCATGCCTCGGATCTCTCGGGAGTTGTTGGATATTCGGAAGGGCCAATGGGTGGGGGCTCAGGCGAGAGTTTTCTGGAGGGTGACCCCTTTAGCCTTTGGAAAGAGCGGAATGGACGATCTTTTGATGGGAAGGAGTCCTCCATTGGGGTGCTGAAATTTTCTATTATTTGTACTCTTTTTTGTGGTCGGGGGAGAGACTACTCTTCTCTTGAGGATATTGTTGACTTCATGGGCTCTTTGAGTTCATAGATTCCGTTTTGTCTTTGTATTTGAATGCTTTTTAATACATTTTACTTATCAAAAAAAAAAGAAATATTTTTCATCACCGCTCTTTCCAATACCCTAGCCACCCTTTATATAGTCTCTCCTAGCAATCCTACTATAATTGGCTCTACTACAATAAAGGGAAATTACTAAAAATCTGAAATTACTTAAAATCAGCAAGTTTCCAAAAATCAGAACATGGAAAGTTTCCAATAAGCAGAATATGGAAAATTTCCAAAAATGTTGATAAAATCATTGACTGCATCAGACCCCCCGGGTTGGAAAAACTCGCCCTCAAGTTTCGCTGCGAATAAAGTGGCTCATCATGCTTATCATATATTAGTATGAACAAAATTTCATACCATTGAAGACTTGATCTTAATACTACAAAATCTTGCTTCAAATTTTTTTATGTCTGATTGCATTGTCCGAGCAAATATGAAGTTCACCTGGCCTCTACCTTTAAGTGGACAATCAAGCCATTTTGTATCCAAGGGACATGCTGGAATGATCACTTCACGGTGAACTTTAATACTGAGATAACTATGAACTCGGTCCTCATATTTCCAAACCTCAAGATGCATGATATCATCATCAAAACAGTTAGTAAGAGGAGCTAGAAGCATTGCACCAAATTCAATCCCAGCCAAACAAGTCATGTTCGCCACAAAATCATTCCGTACATTGCCAAGAGAACCGTCAGAACACTACACCAAAGTATCTTCACTGGCACTTTCTGGAATAATAACTTCTTCTTCAACAATCGACTCACATAATGATCCTTCACAAAGTTGATACCTAAACTTCTGCAGTCGATCTTGGACATGAATTTGAAAATTTGTTCGACCCGTTCATCAGCTAATCCATGTTGTTCATTTTCAATAGCAATCTTCTTGTCACCGTCCTCTTCTTTTTCCGTATCGAATTCCTTAACTTTATCATCCTCATGTTTCGGAAGCAAAGGGGACTTTTGCATAACCAAGAATTCACCTAAATCACCTTATAAGATTTCATCATCCTCTTCCTCCGGAAAATCATCATATTTTGGCCCGACCTCTGGGGTTGCATCTTCTTCTTTGATCAAAATCTGTTTTTCATCTTTGTCTGCACTCCGCCGATCTATGCCCAGGCTCTCTACACTTACAACACTTCAGCCCAAGGTCTCCGCCTTGACTTTGGCCTGCTGGCCTTCCATAATTTTGGAAGTTTTCGACAGTGGCAGCTGCTGTCCCACATGTTGGGCCTCGTTTTGCACTGTTGTAGAGGCTGATTTGCACTTAAAAGTGGACTGCAACCTTGTGGAAGTGCTGCTGGAGCGCAAAACCTGCTTGTTTTGTTGTTTCTCCACCACCAAAGCTCGTTGATAAGCCTCCGAAACTGACCAAAATGAATGCAAGAGCAGAACTTCTTGTATGTTGGGTCTTAGTCCGCTAATATAGTGTGCCACAATTTGTTCTTCACTCTCCGATAGATCATTGCGTGCTAAAAACTCATAAAATTCTTTAGTGTAATCTTCCACACTACCGCTTCTTTGCCTCACATTATGCGTTTGGACATAATTAAAAGGAGAAAATTGTTTCTTCAACTTTTTCTTCGTCTTCTCCCATTCTACAATCTTTGGCTTACCTCTATGCTTTCGGGTAATCCGTAATTTCTCCCACCATGTTGATGCTTTACCTTTTAAACGAATAGCTACGATCTTGACCTTCTTGTGATCTGGTATCTCCTCGTATTCAAAAACTCTTTCAGTGGTATTTAGCCAATCGATAAACTCCTTTGCCTTAAGACTCCTGTGAAATTCAAGAATCTCAATTTTGATATTCGCCTCTAAACAATGATCAATCCGATCGTCGGGTGATCTATGGCGACACGAAATATAAAACAGATGTTTCGCAAAAGTTCTGATGTTGGACAGGTCATCCTCCATCGGAAAGTTGTCATCGATCAGCGGATTGATGACATGTTGAGCCAATTGCTG